AAAAAAAAAAAAAAAAAAAGAAAATAAGTTAAAGCAATTTTTTTGTGCAGTAAAATAAAAAAAATTTTAAATTAATTCAAAAAATGTAAAAAATTGCACTGTCTTATGCAGTTTGAGCTTCCTTTAACAGCTAATATTTGTAGAGCAAAGTGCTCTGCCAGTCACCTAACAACAACAAAAAAAATAACTTTTCATGATTTTTACTAAAATTTACTTTTTGAATAACTGAAAAAAAGTTATACTTTTTTGTTCTCTCATCACTTTATATTGCTGTACTTTTTTCACTTAGTTCTGGACGAAGTTGCCGACCGTAAATCGCTGGTGTGAAAGAGCATATGGTATGCAAAAGCACTTTGAGATATGGCCAATAGTCAATAAGAATGATATTAAAAGTGTCCGACGACAGTGCAAAACTTTAAAAGTAACAGTTTTTACGACTAAGCACTTTTTTATCATTTTAAACTGAATCGCTCACACAACTTTTTTTATCTCTTGCTGAAAAAATACACAAGTGAACATCTATCGAGTTTATAGTACAGAATACTATTGTACTTACGAAAAGATACTTTGACGATATAAGCGTGTAGCCAAAATGCTACTTTTACAGCAATATTAAAACTTTTCGAATTTTTTCAGGTAATTCTTCACAACTTCAATGTATTGATAAACGCTTAGCCGAATTAACAAAATTTAAGAAATTTCGATGTTGAACAAATGTTTTTCACTGTTTACCCAGTTAAACAAAATATAGAAAATTTTTGAAGACCAGTATTACAAACTTTCAGTAAGTTAAACAGTTTATAGCTCTAAGAACGATTTGCGAAATGAAAAAGTTTATCTGAAAAAGCAAAATTCCATTAATTGTAAAAAGTGAAAAGTGATTTTACTTTGTTGCGTAATAAGTGTTTCTTTAAGATTTTGTCATTATTTTATTAAAGAACAAAACCATTCAAGTTTGAATCATAATTATGTAAGAATACAAATTCTAAGTGAGGGAATTTTTTCTAGAAAAAAAGATTTGCACCAAATATGTTTTTTCAAAAATATCTCTTTGAGTGACTTTTCTTTATCTATCTGCAAAAAATTTACATTTTTAAGGCTTGTAGGTTTGGTTGTTAACACTACTATATTTGGGTATTATTTTTTTTTAGTAAGATGGAAAAGTTTTTTGTGCAAACATAGGCTTACACAGTTTTCTATGCAGTGCGCAAAAACTGTAAACTCTTACACTAGATTTTTTCCGCTACAGAAGTGACAATTTTGTACATTTCAATGAAGTCTATCTCACCAAAAATATCGTTTTTTTTTTACACAAACTATTCTGCTCAGCATACCAGTAAACAAACGCCAAAAAAACACTTTTTTAAACGAACAATTTAGATACTTGAGAAGAGACCTGTTTAGAGAACAGTAGAAGGCATTCTTTAAAAAAAAAAAGAGAGATAATTTCATAAGAACTTCTTCTAAAAACTTATTTCAAATTTAAACTCACTGTAGCGGTGGCGATTTTAATGTATGCTATCTGTCGCTCACATAAAAAATGGCCATTTACAGCAATAAATTTTAAAAAAATTTGATTTTTTATAATAATCAGCGTTTTTGGCTAATTGGTAAGTGGCAAAAGCTTTTTCTGACAAAGACAAGTGAATCAGTGAGAAGAGTAGCCTAAAAAACAGTTTACATGATCTTCTTCTTCACCTGCCAAATCAAAAAAAGCTAGATAACAGAATAAAAAAGATGAGTAAAAAAAACAATTATACAATGATTCAACCAACTCTTTAATCTATTTCAGCTAAAAACTGTTATAAATCAAAAAATAAAATGAGCTCATCAAGTTGATTAAATTCTGTAAAATTTCTTCAAAAAGAAACAAAAAAACAAGGAAAAATTGCCGAAAAATCGCGTTTTTTGTGAAGCAATAATATTCTGAAGATTCATTAGTTTTTTTTGCCACGAAACTAAAGAGAAGTTTTATGTTAACAACAACCTAAAGCAAATTTAGCTTTACTCAAAAAAAACCAAAAAAGAAAGAATTAAATAACTAATTGTTTTACAGCTATAAAATTAAAGTAACACAGCTACAAAAAATCTGTTACCTTTTATAAAAAACAACACTTTACGCTTGACAGTTTCTAAATTCTCAATTTTCTATATTTTTCTTTCCAGCTTGACACATTTCTCGCCTTTTTTTATCAATTTAATTCTGTGCTAAATTCTCGAAAGCCACTCTTTCTTTTTGGATACTTCAGCCGGATGAAGAATGCAATATTATAACACTCGGAATCGGAAGTGATACAAAAGTAGAAAATGAACTGAAACAAACCGTATCGAGCACATGTAAATTTTCGGGTGCAGATCCAACAGAAGAGGTGAACAGGGAGTTGTACGAAGTGGTCGGAAAATATCATAAGCTAGCTGTCGGTGCAGCTAATGACGTACATAACGCTTCTATACTGGGATGTAAGTTTACATTAGTAATTAATCAATATTATGTTTCCTTGATAGTTGTTTTACACACTTTTTTGAAAGAATTTTTCATGACCTGGAATAAGGTTCAGCCATCTGTAATTTTCCAGCCTTACACTACTAGCCTTTCTTAGTCTCAGAAGCGAATATCCTGCTTGAACAATACAAACATATCTTTAAAATTTTTCTACTCAGTATTGATCTTTCGATTATTTATTATTACCAAAGTTTCTTAAACTTTGCTCAACTCTGCGCCATGTTCGAGTGCATTCTAAGATTGCCATTTTTATTACTTTCAATTCAGTTTTAGAGTCACATAAATTGTAGCGGCTAACAAGCATGTAGTCAAAAAAAAAGATACTCTACCCTTTCTTCTACCTACCTGACCCGCTTAAAAAAATACAAGTTGTAAAAGTTACTAAAAAGATAAAAGCAGTGGCGCTCCACTGCAATGTTTGAGGCGTCGAAATAAGTGTTTTTTTCCACATTACTGTTGAAACACTATTTCTAAAAATTTGACAGATAATCTCATAAAGTTGAAATTATTGTCATTTCACGATATTCGATGTTCTTTTTAAGATAATGGTACTTGGAGTGCGTACCAAACTGTAATGACGAACCACACAGACCTGTTAACGTTTCTTAAAAAACACGCTGGTGTAGAGCATCTCATCGACTACTTGTTCATGGACATAGAAGGCACTGAGGTCATCTATCAGCTCCCTGTCTTGTATACTTACGTTGAATTCTCCTTCCTCCGCTAGAGATAAGGCAGTAATATTAAAAAAACTTAGCTTTGAAAAATTTGGTGAATTTGCGTGGTTTAGGAGAAAAGGAAGTAGAAAGACTGTCTTTTTAGACCTGAAATGACTTGTTTGGAAAAGTCGTAGCACAAGGCTGTGCTTGTCGTGTTTATGACAAACTTTCAAGATTTTAATTTAGTCTAAAGTTTGATTTTTTTTGGCTCTGATTTTGAAATTTTCACATCCATACAGTTTGTTTTTTACAAAATTGAGCTTTCTCAGTTTGACGCAGTATCTTACTTCTTACCCGACGGAATTTTGGATTCCGCTGGAATTACGGTATGTCAATGGACATGCGAATTTCATCCTTTTGTAATGTCGCCAGCAAATCTTGCTAAACTTGAAACTTTTTTGTGGAGTACGCTTCGGAATGGCAAGTAAGTCAATTAGTAAATTTTCTACAAATATTTAATTGAGCGGTCAGTTAGTAAGTTAACCGTGCCTGTTTATAGCTAACCAGAAACAGAATACTTTTAAAGGTATTCTAGGATTTATAGGTTTGATAGAACTATTAAATTTCTCTATGCAGTGAAAATGTAGAAGAGCCAAACATGTTTTTCTTGTATCAAAATAAAAGTGGATTTTTGACGTTGTGAATGCTGAAGATTCCGTGCTGTTTTCATGCAATTCAAGTGAAAATCATTACATTTCAGATATCTTCCAATGCGTTTCAAAGATATTGGCAATATAATTACCAATTATTTTAATGTTGTTGACGAAGTTTGCTTAGATCGATATTGGAGAGGTTGTTCGTAACCAAAGGAAGTATTTTTGGCGTTCTACCTAGTTGACGGAATATACGAGACGGTTTTTGGTGCTAAACACCTTAGTCTAGAATTAGCAGTAGTCTGTCTGTTGCAAATGAACATAGTTATGGTGCAATCGACTTTTTTGGCAGAATAGTAGACGGTTTTCAAACTAAGTTCTATTTGAGGAGTTAGATTACCAATTAGGTCACTGGCTCATTCTTGACTATCAGAAACTTATTAGTATTTTGTAACAAATATTAGTACGTAACAACTTTTGAGCAATGGCTAATTTTAAATTCTATTTTTATGAACAAATTTACATTACAAAAATTTCACAGGTGGACAAACATTTGCGATTTTTATTCAATAGCAG